CAAATAGGATTATGTGACTATCAAGGACATGTCGAATAGGATTTGCTAAATAAAAGCAAATGTTAGAGCAAATGTTATCACGGGGCTTAGAGTTGTCGGCATATATTGGCATTGGTTATCTGGCGAAATCCTAGCGTTAATCCCTTTTACACAATGATTCACAAACATTTTTTTCCTAATACTTGACTATGTAAAATGCTGAAGCTGATGAGGACAGCGTAGTGTAAATCAAGCGTCGTGGTGCAATTAGAAGTTAGCACAATTTGAGGCTCAGATACTGCAGGATTCAGCTCAGACACCACAGATACCAACTTAGGTCCTACAGAAGACACCAGTGGGTCGTGCTCGGCCCCACAGGGCCCTGATCAGCCTCCACAGGGTCCTCAGCCCCCTCCCCTCCCCATAGGGTCCTGCTCGGACTCCCTAAGATCCTGTTCGGCCCCCTACAAGGTCCTACTCAGACCCACAGAAACCCTGGTCAGACCCCACAGGGAAGAGATCCGCCCTCACGCCATACGGTTTGACTCAGACCTCACAGGGCCCTGCTGGGACCTCACAGGGTCCTGCCCAGACCTCACAGGGTGCTGTCCAGACCCCACGGGGTCCTGTCCAGACCCCACAGGGTCCTGTCCAGACCTCACAGGGTGCTGTCCAGACCTCACAGTGTGCAGTCCAGACCCCACAGAGTGCTGTCCAGACCCCACAGCCGGCCGGCCGGCGCCGCTCTGCACCCACACGCCCTCCCGGCGCGGCCGGTGACAGGCGCACCATGTCCCCTTCCCTGCCATCAATCACTTCGGGATGTGTGTGTACATTTGCCGAGCGCACCGACATGCACCGAGCTGCTGCTCCGACACTGGTGGCGCTGGGGCGTCATAAACCGGCGACAGCCGCCGCTCCGGGTCCAGACTATGACTGCAAACCGTCCCTGGCGGCAGCTGACTGGTGGAAAACTGACGCGGTCTTCTCTCTCCCCACTGTGTTACAGGCAGCTGCTATGTGGGCAACCAGGACCTGCAGACGCTGCTCGGCTTCGTGCTGATCCCGGCGTTCGTCTACCTGGTGGCCGGCATATCCTTCCTGCTGGCCGGCTTCCGCGCCATCTTCAGAGAGCGTGGCCAGGCGGTCCGCTCGCGCAGCGTCGAGCGGCTCGAGATGCTCACCATGCGTATCGGCATCTTCGGCGTCATCTACACGGTGCCGGCCACGTGTGTGCTGGCCGCACTGCTGTACGAGTACACGTCGCGCGAGCAGTGGCTCACCCAGCTGGACGTGCACCCCAACGTCGAGATTCTGATGCTGAAGATCTTCATGACGCTGATTGTGGGAATCATCGGCGGTCTGTGGATGGCCAGCCTCCAGCCGTGTCAGGTGTGGCGCCGCAGTCTGCAGCGCTTCCAGAAGCGGCCCGTGCCGCCGTATCTGGAGCGTGTGCCCACCTCCTGCCCACACCACCACCACTCGGGCTCGCTGGAGCCGGCCACCAGGCCCGCCCGCCACCACAGCCGGCGCCCGCGCGACGCCTGGCGGCCCGGGGGCGAAACACAGGTGTGAGTCGCTACCGCAGGTGGCGCTGCCGGCGGAACTAAATGCGCCTATGGACGCTGGAGAATGGATCTATGTGCATTGTGCAGCAACGTGCGGCTAATCAGGGTATTTTGTGGACTTTGGCAGCGCTGGTGACGCTGCCTTGTGTTGTGCTATTTTGCAGCCGCGCGATGGGGCGATGGAAAGCTGTTTATGGGTTCCTGAGCATTACCATGTGTCGTTATTTATGTGCCATGTGCCGCGGTGGTGCTCCGTTTTTGTTTTGGTGTACTTTGAGAGTTATGGACATTTGTCGTTTTTGCAGAGCTAGGTGTGCCATTGCGTGAAGAGTGTATGCTTGTATGTGTTGTGCTTGATTAAGCAGCCCGTCATGTTGCATGGCAGATGCCGCGTCCAAGCCATGTTGCCATCGTAAGATGTTGTTAAACATGCCTAAATCGCAAGATACTTGATATGCACCCAGTCCGATAGTATCACTGCTTTTGCTATCTTTTAGCAAGCTGAAATATATTTTGAGCCGTACCGATGTTCTTACCCTGGCAGGTATTGAATATCGGTGTAATTTAAACATCGATAAATGTGGTGTTCCAATATTATCTCTATGACATATATTCATGTCACCTTTGATCTTCAAAGAAGTAAATTCATTCCTTTTGCTGCGATTATTCTTTAAGCTTCTCGCGCAGCTGAATAATCTATTGACGAATGCCTCGTGCGCGACTTCCACTCGTAAGAAGCAGGCTGGGATGTGAACGTGGATTTTTCCGCGATAGGTGAGCTCATGTGTGTGTTGAAGTTCGGTCCGTTTTTATTCTGACAGTTGTGATATTCAAGTTCTTACACCTCCTTTTCACCTGTTTCGGATTAGTTTTTGCTTGGTGATCTGTGTATGGCGTGATGTGTATTATAGTGTATCGTGTATCGTCATCTTTAACCGTGAAGGGCGTGTGAGATCGGCTGCATATGTACAGAGCTACCATTTTAAGCACATCCAGCTATCATTACCCACATCCTATGTTTTAACGACAGGTTTCGATTATTTGCCACCGATTAGCATTATTATCGAACGCTCTTGAAACTGCGGTAGAATGGAAAGCTTGTGACCGTTCCTTTACAAATGTGTTACATACTAGCATTTGCATCCATCTTAGGCCAAACCAAGAACATTTACGACGAATGTTCGAAAAAATAGCTCAGCCTTTGAGAAAGCTTTGCCTCTGAAGCCGTTCAGACTCATCCAGCTGGATGTGTTTTCTCTCACAAACGCTAGGTGGCAGCTCTGGAGTGAATGACTGTATCGATGCATGTTCACAATAAAATGTCAGTGTTACTTTCTGTTTCTTAACATTTCGCTAAGGTTTGGCTTGCTACACACAGATAACACTTGTTGCCTATCTACGAATTGATATCCGCCGATCGAAATGCGCATCATACGCTACAAGCAGCCTCTCGAGTCTCGACGGTGTAGGTACTAGGTAGGTACATACATACTCTGAAGCCAATTTCCGCATCTGAGCCTAACAGCCTAGCAGGGCTCCACGAGGCCAGCCCAGGGGCCCTGTGTTACACTGAAATCCTCACAAAGAGCAAAAACGCGGAAAAGCGCATCCCAAATGTGTTCTTCCCACGTGTACCGCCGCGCCGGTGCCGGTGGTATCCCCCCCCCCCTCACAATTGGTGTTAAATATCGCTTTAGCGATAGAAAGATGAAAGTTTGCATATTGACCTTTGAACCCAGCCAGAACTTGTGACAACAACTGCATTTACAGGTCAAGTCAAGTCACTGACCTGTCACGTCATGTGTGCACCTCTGCACGGTCCAAAACTATTGCGACCTAACGACGCCTTCAGTGGCAAGGATTTCTTGTTTTATTTTGGAGAGGCATTTTTTTCGAATCACAATTTATTGCGTACTCAAACAAGCATCATAAGACAAGACCAATCATCACATCACTGCATTCATCTCACCGCATCCACCACACGCCCCACTATCACCACACCAGTGACACCACGCTCCATGTGCACTCAGCAGCTCAAAGCACGCCCCACTACGGCCGGCCCACCTGGCCAAGCCTGGGCTGCACACGGCTGCTACCGCCCCGGTACATACTACATGGCAGGTTTTTCAGACATGACAGGAAGGGAGTGAGCAAGCTATGACTTTGGAGGTCACCGTTTGACCTGAGACCTTAACCCTCGCTGGTACAGGGGGGGGGGGGGGAGTTGATGCAATCCCCCCTGATGTTTTTCGCAAATAACTCGCGTAAAAAGCGGCCGATCGCGACGAAGCTTTCAGTACCCTCACGTTGATTAATTTTACACCTACCCAATTTAATGACCCTGACCCAAATGACCTTTGACCTGAGACCTACTTTTCGACACCATGTCTGGCCGGAATCGCGAATCGGCATATGTCGGCTCTCATTAGCCGCGCGTTTGCAGTCTTTTCGTGCTTTCAAGCGTTCAAACATGTGATTTGATGCATTGGTCCCATGCATAAGGGTGCATGTCAAGGTCTTCGAATTTAGCAACCATTTGAACATTTACGAAGTAGCTATGGTGTCTTCGTAACATGTTACGAAGCTGTCAGAGGCGGTCCACACGTACTACAAATACCCGGCAGGATCCCTACTGTTCGACCTGACCTGACCTGACCCGACCTGGTCTAAATGCATAAACACATCATCTGTGATAAAAAACTAGCATACCTAATATTCGTGATCAGCACTTCCAAAAAACCCTTAGCAGCCACACCTTACGTCGTTCTAACAGGTCCCGATTTTCCCATTTGTGGGTCATTGACCTGACTTGGAAGGTCAACCGATGACCAAGGACCTTAAAATTGGGCATCATCGGCTTCCTGTCGTCAGGGGCAACACATTCGTTTTTTTCCGCCAAGCTCCAGCTCGATCAGGGGCCAAACGCGATCGTACCCCCCCCCCCCCCCAACTTGCGCCGTCGGAGGACGCAAAAGTGCCGGGTGAGGGTTAAAATTGGGCACTAGTCGCTGCGCCTCGTAACAACGTGCAGTGCACACACTTTTTTAGTAGTTCTAACTTATTTATGGACGTAACGACGACCGGAAGGTTTATGTAAGAGCGAGAGAGAGAGAGAGAGAGAGAGAGAGAGAGAGAGAGAGAGAGAGAGAGAGAGAGAGAGAGAGAGAGAGAGAGAGAGAGAGAGAGAGAGAGAGAGAGAGAGAGAGAGAGAGAGAGAGAGAGAGAGAGAGAGAGAGAGGGGGGGTTACAACTGTTGCGGTAACATAATATCCTCAGATCTGACCTCAGGTCAACGGTTTGACCTATAGTTTGAAACAGATAGTCAAAATAAGGGGCTGTTTTGTATCATTTGTACGCACCAAGTAAATACATATCCAGCAAACAGAGCAGGCTGCTTTAACTCCATTCAGCCTGGCCCACCAGTCTCCAGTGCCCGGCGCTGCTGGCGCGGCGGTGGCAGGTACGGCCACAGACCGGCCCTGCGGACGGCCCGGTGCCGGTGAAGGCTCGCTCGCTCCCCAGCCGGGACGAACAGAAGGTCAGTCGTGCGTCGGCCGAGCAGACAGAAGGACGGACCCGACGCGCGGCCCCTGGGGAACATCGAGCCAGCCGCGACTCCACGTCACCTCAGGTAAGTTTGGGATCCATCAAAAACTCAGAGCCAGCCCACGACTACGCGTCACTACAGGTGAGGCTGGGGTCCGTCAGAGACACTGACCCAGCCCGCGACAGAAAGAACTGTTGGTTCAGTCAGTAAACGAGTGAATGAGCTACCTCACGATCCCATGTCACTTCAGCTGAGTCTGAAACCCATAAGAGATACTGAACTAACTCACGATTTCACGTCATTCCAAGTCAGTTGGGCAGTCTTCAGAGTCTCTAGATAAACTCACGACTACCGTCACTCCAGGTAAGATGGGATCATTCAGAGGCATCTAAAGGGTCGAATTTGATTATGGCTGGATCTAACTGCAGATGCGTTACAATGGTCAACCAATGTATGTTTTTTTTTCAAGGATCACCAACAGTATCATATCAGCCGACAACTGTGTTGTGAGCTCATTTTGGCATTTGATGCCTAATTTGTCAGGAGATACCTATCAAAACGGTAGAACTGAACTGATGACGCTTTTATTTGGCCACTGCATAGTGCATGGGCTTGTTGCTTCTCATGATAAAAACTAATCCGCAAACACACACTGTAATGCATTCAGTAGTTCGTTCCAGAGCCGCTCCTTTATATTTGGCTTGGACTGTCCCCAATTCCATAGCTGTCGGAGAAGAGGCTATGATAAAGAAGCTATAAATCGAAGAAATGTGCTTTGAAAAATTGGGGAAACCGATGAGCAAGACAAGCTTACCAAATACCAAACCCAAAGGGCTCATTCATGCAAAATTGAATGTTTACCTACATTCTGCATTTTAACCTACAATATTTCTTGTGGGGTTGTTTTGTGTACCGCTTTTTGCTTTTACCTTTATCTCAAGAAGGCACTGCAGTTACCGACACATATGCATGTCTTGTCAAGTCAGTGGCCAGCACAGAGGCCAGTTTACCAAAAGTCACCTACACTACACCTACACTCAAACATGTTTTTTAGGTAAACTATTGGATGCATAGGAAAATTTCGCCCGTGTAACCCCAAGCTATAACTCTGAGGTCATCTACTTTGGGTCATACGTGGTCATCAGCAACTTTCTACCATAACATTTGATAATTGATGGCCATGTTATAAATATGCCCCTGCTGATAAATACGTTACGCGTAATAACATGTACTCTGTTGATCTTCCTGGTAGTAAGTTCATGTTTTCTTTATAATATCTTCGCACCATCCCAATACATCAAGCATAGCGTAAGGTAACGATGAGGTAAGCGTTTGATGTATGATGGATTTTTATTTTTTAAATCTACTGTAGGTATAACTATTTGTGGTGAGTGAATGCTTCTGTCTGTGACAGAGGTCCCAATATGGTGACCCTTTCTCCAGGCTACAGCCCAGACCATTGCCCGTAGCGCGGTGAAATTTGTACAACTTACATATAGACCAAGGATGCGCGGGATGCTTTTGAAGGGCCTGAGCTCGGGTCGCTAGTGAGCGCCTGGCGCATTAAAAAAAAGACGAATTCGCGGCATAGAGTTTTCATGTTAAAAACGGGGTGCGAAATCGGACGAAAATGACTATAAATATGGGCGACACCGGACACGGGCAGGGTATATTGAGTGAAGGACACGGGCCCGGTCCCGGTGCAATATCTCTGTAGCCACGCATCCGATCGGCACGGGGTAAACACTATCGGGTAGATAATTGAGGGTTCGAATGTTGCGCGATGCCAAGGGTAGCACACGCCACGTGTACCAGAAATGGTACTTTTATTTGAAAAAATTGTCATTTTTGTCGGTGGGGATATTTGGTCTACAATTACCAACGTCTGTATGATATTCGTATCGGCGGTGTCGGTAGACGTAGATTGTTTATTGAAAATTGTTCTGATGGTGTCATTTGGAAGACCAATAAATGGCTCTCTTATTATTCCCTCTTCCTTTGTCGTTGCACCAAAGCAGATGTCGATCCATTGCTGACCATGTTCGCCCAACGGCCGCTGATAAGCAAAGCTCATTGGACATGCAGCGACATTACCGATTACAGACAACAAAATCCTTCCTTCGGCGACCGATAATGGATTCACCCGGATACTAAATGTTGCATAATAATAACGAACATGTGGCTAGTGAAAGGTCGCGGGTCTTTGACTAGCCACCTTTGACATGTCAAAGGTTGCAGGCCTTTGACTAGGCCAGGGAGCTGCAGCTCAGGGCTACTATTGAGCCGCGAGCTGCTCAGGTCAGAGTCTCGCACGAGCCACGGCTGCCACCGCTTAGTGACGTGGGAGGTGATAGTTGCCCAGCTCAGAGACTGTGAAGAAACTCTGAACTATCAAGCTCGTCAGCTTTCAGACTATCCAGCTAAGAGTCCGCGGAGAGCTGCGGGCTGCCAGCTCCGGGTCCGGACAGAGCTGCGGGCTGCCAGCTCCGGGTCCGGACAGAGCTGCGGGCTGCCAGCTCCGGGCCGGACAGAGCTGCGGGCTGCCAGCTCCCGGCCGGACAGAGCTGCGGACTGCCAGCTCCGTATCCGGACAGAGCTGCGGGCTGCCAGCTCCAGCTCCGGACAGAGCTGCGGGCTGCCAGCTCCAGCTCCGGGGAGGGGCTGTACCACCGCCGGGCTGCGGCTCGGCGCTGGCACAGCTCGCGTGCGGCCTGTTGAGGTCACTCTCAGCGGGACGAAGCCGGAACTCCATTAGAGAGGAGCACGATGTTCGGTAAGCGGTCCGCCGGGGCCGTGAGACGCCGGCCGGTGGCTGAGACCATCGGGACGGCGCAGTTAGGGCTGATCGGACTGCCGACTGAGATTGATTCGACATCCGGGAGCTCACACCGCGAATTAAAGCTCGACACCCACTGGGAACGAATGAGGGAAGAGATGAAATCACCACAGGTGCTCAGGGTTCTTGTTACGTCACCAATGTCCCGGGCAAACAATGCAACTAGAAAGTTTTTAAACACCGTGCCAACACCTCGCCCTGGGGGTTTTGATGCCCGTTTGAAACCATGCTAGAAACACTGAGAATGTAGGATAGGTAAGTGACTTTGACCAAGAAAGGAAGCGTTGAAGACATAATAGGACATAAGCGGGGCATTTAACCTGGATGGCAAATATCAAGTCATGCCATTTACTTCGAAGCTTTGTTTTAATCCCTTGGAATGATAAGGTGATCAGAACAGATCAACGTTTGGATTAATTGCGGATGATCGCTTTCTCAACGACCGATAAATCGGCTCTTCACAATGGCTTCCGGGTTGATTTGAACGTTTTATTGGTGTGTAAACATGTCATATATTTTGTAAATAGCTGACATGCGTTCTACTTGGGTTTTGGTATTTCTACTTCGATTTCCTTATAACAGAAGACAACCAAGACGTTCATCGAACAACAATGCTCTGCAAGCTTCGTCAATGCAATAACATAGACCATATAAATCAAAACAGCAAGTAAACCACAGCTTAGAGTCGACGGCTGATGACATCAGATTGTTCTCAGCGATGCATCAATGGCACACGAATAACGGGCCAAGCGACACAATCGTTGTTGATATGGGTCATGCGCATTTATCTCGCATCACAGTAGGTAGGAGACGACCTTGTGCCTTCCTTAGGTATTGATGTCAAGTAGCATTCATTATTGCAATATTGCACCACATAAGTTTTATTAATCTGCTTCTATATCTACATACGACTGTGTCACATACCTAACTTGTGGATTATTCGAGATATTCACCTTACGCTTGGTGCGAATTTTTTTTTTTTTTGCTCGATCGGAATTACTGTGGCAAAACGTTTAGAACGACGGACTGGTGAAACCACGATGAATGCTAACTAACAGTACGAAAAACGAAAACCGATACATGAAAAGCATCATATGCTCAATACGGCTGCTCTATGCAAACCGGATGTTTTGCCAAACAGACTCATTTTGTGGCGCTATATCAGCGCTCTTTGATTCCCGATGATCGACTATCACTTCTTTTCCATGACGCGTCTAAATAGACGAAATTTCACGTGCGTTGTTTTCGGATAATATTCACATTATGCAAAAAAATGAGGGCAGGTATATTTGGCTTTAGCTAGCACCTAGTCCCATGTTTTTTTAATTTTAAATGACGTCTAAATGATATGATGGAGAAAAACCATTTTGCAAAATCGGCTTAACTTGTGCCATGAAAACGTAGTAAGTATGGTGAGGTGCCTACAATTCGCCTTGCCAGTCACGATTGAATAAAGGGGTCGACAAAAGAAAAAACGCTCCTAGCCCGCGTCCCGCTGGGCTATTCAGCCATACGCGCCCTGCTGGGGGGGGGGGGGGGAGGCAGATTCTGCCCCCTGTCTAACTTCCGAACCGATGGTCGTAGAAAGACGGGGAAAACGGCAATCGAAAGCTCTCAACAAGGCGGATCTAAAGAACCTTTTTTGCTTTAATAGGTCAGAGGTCAGGTCAAGGTCAGGTCAAAGGTACAAAATGCAAGTTTCTACTGTATCGGCCTTGCACCGTAGTTGCCGAAGGTTGGACTGAGACGGATTGCACACAACGTGTTCTTAGGCTACCAAGACAATATTCGTTGCATACAATATAATGCAAAGGTCAAGGTCAAAGTCAGGTCAGGTCACCAAAAATGAAATATAGAAAAAGGCATGTGCGACACATGTTTTATGGGTCATTTTATTCATAGAATTCAATAGGCACACTCAATAAGTGGCATACACCACATCTGGATGAATTTAAGGTCGAGGTCAGGTCAAGGTCAATTTTAGGTCAATTGAAGTCAAATTTTGAAGTTAGCTGTTAAGACCTAAAAAGGTGTCTAACTGATGCAGTTTTTACGGCAAATCGAATGGTGCTATTTTTGTTTCCGTACGATGTCTAGAACTTTGAAAAAAAAATCAAAAATTTTGTGTGTCGAGACGTCATAAAATTTTGAATAACTCCCACATTTTTGAACCGATTCTTCTAAAAAAAATTGGTATGTAGGTGCACATAGACCAGTTCTCTGACATATTTTCCGTTTTTGCCGATAG